CGCCCAATTCATATAAACCACCACCGGCCGTGCTGTTTGAAATCATACACGATCCAAGCGGAGTACCGTTTCATCGACTTCCACCACCATATCTGACCAATTTTGTGGGAGCTCCGCTTCCGGCCGAAGCCCAACTGCGTGTTCCCGGTCGCACATGTTTGGAAAATCCGATGGACTTGGTTCCTACTTTGACTATTGATGAAGACGGTGAGTTTGATCTGTTGATTGTTTTCGTTAAAGTAGTGTTGTATCAGTTCCCCGTCTCCGTATGACTACTGAAAGCGATCTGGTCATTGTCCTAGGAATGGAGAAATATCCGACCCCCTGACATAAAGCTGTTTACTCTGTCACGGGTGCGAGTCATGTGACATCCAGATACGTCTAAAACTTGAAACGAAATATGTTTAAGTTTTTTGCCAACTGAGTACCATGCACTTAGTTTTAGTAGCATATAAATATTTGCTGTTTGTCAAAACCATACGAATCCCGGTTGGTGTATGTCGAAGTAGTTGTTTTTACGCAATTTTGTATGCTGTTTAATGATTTTCTCCAATAGATATTTTGTGACAACAACTGCTGTGCAGTAGGCATTCATGCAGTCATATTCGCATAGTGGCAGTGTGTTCGCCACATGGCTCTCCGAAAGCCTGCGTATGGTCAGAGGTGGTGTCTTGGGTTGTGACTGGCCACGCTTCTCTTGCACCTCGCGAAATGCTGCTATATGATCCCGCGTCGAAAATAGTCTCTGCTGAGGAAACCCTACTCACTGCCTTCTCGTCGTGGATGAGGACATCCGGGCTGCAACCGGGTTGGTGAACCACTGACAGTTCACCTAAGGAAGCGTGATTAAAACCCTGAATTAAAATCAGCCAAAAACAGGTATAGGAACCACACACACACCTTCATGGTTCAGGCAGCGGTCACCGGCTCTCTTGGGTACCTTGCAGCACACTATCTCGTCCCTGTAGATTGCGGTTTCATGAACTGCCAAGCTGTCTTACTGATCAGGCTTTAACTAGTCGAAAGCTCGGGTTGGACACTACTCAAAAGAATTCCCCTGTCCGGTCTGAATAATCTAGCAGCATCCCACTCACAAGCAAATCACGGATTCGTTTCTTCTTTTATGGGGATTATTGCAACGTGATTTGTTTTGTACAGTCTGAACCCAGTCGTGTTTGAAATGTATTCGGCCCATTACTAGCAGATACTTTTATTACCAAGTTGGAAAACCACGAGCTAGAAGTCTAAGGTGGGTAGTTATTTTGGCTACGTCGGTTATATTTTTCCGTAAGATAATAACAAATGTAACCTAACTGTTGGCGCAGGAATCAATATGAGAAACACTCGATCAGAATGGAAGTATGTGTTTCTTTGCACAACATGCCTGTTCCCCGAACTAAAGATGGTTTTCTTTCGTGATACGTTTATGGAAAGCTTGCTTGATTAGGGAATATATTTACTCAAATCTTATGCGCTGTCTGACAATAATGACATTAAAACAATGCAAAGCGCACTTCCATCCAATACTGAATATACTCAGACGAATTCACAACTAGCAGCCTTTTGCACCGGCCTCTCCCTCTCCGAATAGTTTGTACATCAATCTATCGTTTTAGCAACCACGGCATCGAAATGGGCAGCCAAAAGACAGCAACCTAAACCGGTGCATGAGGATGCATGGTTAATGGTTGTGTAATCTAAAACTTAGAACAGTCAAACCGTCGCAGTGTTGTGCGTTTAGAACGCCCGACGAATTCCTAATCGGATTCGAGACGGGGGGGGGAGTGCTCGAGTACGATCGGGAAAATTGTATATCACACTACCATTTGCGGCTTATGGCGATATGGTCGATCTGGGTCCGTGGTTGAATCAAACAGAGTGAACACTGGGCGGAATCCCGGTAATTGGATCTTTCAAAGTTCGTACTGGTGAGGAACAACGGAGTGTTGGAGCAATAATCTAGTCCTAATGAACCATCTCCAAATACACCTCATTCAATGATTGTCGATCTACTGGAGTATTCATTTCCTGCTAAAATCCAGATACCAACACGATTCGATTTACTTAAAAGGTCGGATGACTTTTGGCAAAATACACATCTTTGATTGGGTCTAGGCTGCACTCTCTGCGTGCGTGCGTCGAGGGGGACACAGTTTACGTCAATCTGGCTTGCGATTGCTTATCTCGTACCAGATTCTCAGTCTCTCTGCACATAACTTACTGTTGACTGAAATCCAATCCAGCAGCATGGATTCATCTTCCTCCTGGTGAGGGCCACGCTATTGCCTACAAGACCAGCAGCCAAATCCCCAGAGTTTGTGGAAAAGCATGAGTTAACCTTTGCTGATTGATTCGATTGGGGCGTCAATCGAACGATAGAGCTGGATTCGCACATGCGTGTCTTTTGGATACAGCTGGCACCGATGGCTAGGGTCTCGAGCAAAGAAGCTAAACACGCTTGTTTCCGTACACGTATCCCTAGGAGAGTGTACCTTGACGTTGTGTGATGACGTATATGCTTCGGTGACCCAAAGAGCTACACTGGAAAGCTTTTGTTTGATCAAAGACAAAGTTTTATAACGGGAAATACCGACAAGCTGTTGCTTATCTTGTTCCTTGGGGTTTTTGGCACAATTGAATCCATTAAACTACCAAAAGAGATGAGAAACATCACTGCTCCCCCCTCCCCCTATAGATGTCTAATTTTGAGGATTCATCCAGTCTCTGCTATTGTGGCGACAGAAACACCGTGAGCTGGTAAGAAATTCCAAATAATGCACACCGTGAAGACAAACGGCACCAAAAGATCGTATCATGCCTGAAAGAAAGATCAGAGGCTGCATAGAGATCAGACAATTTCCAGAGGTCATCTAAGGCCATCAGCAAGATCTCATCGACTCTTCGCGGCTAACCAAGACAACATTCCAATCTGGCTTTTACCCTTTCATCCAAAAGAAAACAACCAAAACCGCAGCATAATCTAGGTTTTTTTTGTTTCGGAATCTGTTTTTCATTTATTATCTATTATTATTATTATTATTATTATTATCATTAATCAAGTCATCACAAAAACAACTTATTGCCTTATGTGTCTATTTCAATCCGTATTCTCGTTTTCCAGGTGTCGACATTGTGCTAGACGACATTCAGTTTTGCACCGGTGTGCCTCCAGAGTATTGCCCGCCTATTCGACCCCCAACGGTTCGTCCAATCCCCAGTAAAACATATTTGTGGCAATCACTATGGCTTGGCGGTCGTCATTCGTTGATCGAACCCTTGACGGAAACAGAAATGGCGTGAGTGAACCCTATGTACATCCTGTTCTACCGATCTGTAATGTAGAGCACAAATTCAGGCGAACGATTGTGAAGCTAAAGGGCGTGGGAGGATAACATCAGATTGTATGGAATGAATTACTGTACATGTTTACACATTACGAAATTGAAATTGCATTCAGCGGGGTGGGTTGTATGTATTTGTTTTTCACACGCGCCTGAATCCAAACTGTGTATCTTCCATATCCAAGCCTCTCCATTTAACCCTTCTTCCGACCTGTAG